TAGGTTTTGAGCCAGGTATGGGTTTATAATTTTGTGGAGACCCTGTTTTAATGGGATCAGTGAAGGGCCTGGGATTACATGGGCAGGCCGCGGTGTCTCGGAGGGCCCCACCCGCCACGCCCGCGCCGGTGACTCACGGCCGCGGGCCAGTCCTCAGCTCCCCCCCCGCCCCCCCCCGCATGGCCTGCACCGCGCGGTCCGCCCTCCAGCCCCCAGCCCAGAGTGCCTTCCCCGGGCTCGCCCCTCCCCCTTATCTCTGGCCGCTCCCTCTCAGGATTTTTCCACCCCGGGGTGGGGGGTGCGGCAGGACAGAGGTCAGGAGATGGCGGGCGGGGAGCGCCGCCACGTGCCCGAGTGCGGCCCCGCCTCGGCGGGCCGGTGACTCAGCCCCGGCGGCTGTCTAGGAACCCGAGCTCGGGGGGCGTCGGGTGCCCAAGGCGTGCGGAGCGGCCGCGCCCAGCCCGGGAGGGTGAGAGATGAAGCCCTTTCCCGCCCGGAGGCTCCCCTCCCCCGGGGACCGGAAGCGGCCGGGCTGCTCGGCAGCCCCCGCGGCAGGAGCGCGGCTGGTTCCCCTGAGCCGGCTGCCGGGTCCGGCCCCACCCCCTTCCAGTTGGCGGCGGGCGACCTATTCGAACTCAAGTTGTTGGCATACGTTTTACTGAAAAAGAAGAAAGAAACCCAACGGCCCCACAGAAGAAGGGACCTTCCCCTTCTTGAAAAAGTTGCAAAGCTTGAAACTTATTAGTATTCTTCCGCCTTAAAAAATAGGCCCGCCCGCCGAGCCCCGCGGGCGCCCGCGCTCCGTGACCTCTGCGCCCGGGAGCGCGGCCGGTGACCCGAACTGCTGGCCGGGGAACGGGCGGGGCTGGGACGTGAGCGTGAGGCCTGGGACTGGAGCCGATGCCGTCAGGGGTGATCCTCTAAGTGGGGGTGGGGGGCTCCACTGAGTCGAAATGGTGCCACCCGGCCAGAGAGTGGGGACAGGACGGAAGTGTCTCCAGTGGGTGCCTTCACTTTCTGAAACTGGCCGGCGTATTTTGTCAAATTCCCCTTTACTCTCTCTTTTTTTTTTTAATTAAATAAATAAAAGTGAGAAGCGGTAACGCGCACGCCTCGGCTCT